GCAAAAGAGAAATGTTCACTTTTTATTACTATTAATGGGTTATAAAATCACTGATATTAAGTTTACGAGGAGTTGAACATAGTTTATTTCCCAGCATGCGAACCAAAACAGTCGACAGGCACCCACTTGCTGCAGCGAGGTAACAGGGACAGCAGGTTTAGGGAGACTTGCCCATACGTCTCAATTTTCTCAGCCCTCAGGATGTGACCCACAAAAGTAGATCAGCTCCTAGTTACCAATTTACTTCGAGGTGAACAAGGAGACACTCGTGTGTTCCGCCTTATCCCGGGGCTCGAACCCGGGATCGTTCGGCTGCAAGCCGACCATTGTGGCCACTGACCTACGAGTCACTCTTTTCTCTACGAGAACGGCATAACACTGGAATATATAAATACGGGTAAACAGGAATTGTGTGTGTGTGTGTGTGTGTTTGTGTGTGCACGCTTGACCAATCGGGGGGAATAAACAAGGAAGTGTGTTTTTTTCTGCTAATTCCAAAATCTTTTTTGCACCAAGGTCGCTAGCGGCACTCCGAGCCCTTGCTCTATATATTCCACTATGCATCGTTCAAGCTCTTCCTCTATATATTCCACTGTGCATCGTTCGAGCTCTTGCTCTATATATTCCACTGTGCATCGTTCAAGCTCTTGCTCTGTATATCGCACTCTTCAACATTCTTACCCCCAACACAGTGCACTGTATGATAAACTAGCCCTCGCAAACTCTTATATGGTTTGCAGCAAATTTCTTGATTTAGGTTAAGTTATATTGAGTAAGGTTAGATTGACTTTTATCAGTTAAATTTAACTCGTTATAATATACCACAACGACAGTAAATGAGATATGTGACAAGGCGATTAATAAGTTCTGACGCGCGAACAGAAAACGGAGCCTCACTATCCATACTAAAAATATTTAAGTCGGTTAATCACTATTTAAAGCTAGTTTAACAGTCACTCATTTGACTGTTTTAGCAACAGTGAAATACTGTCTGTTATTAAGAGAATGGTCTTTTAACAGATCTCTCTTTAAATGATTGCATGTTTTTTTTTCTTCCTCCAAGGTTTTCGCTTATAATGACTCACGAGATCGTAATAACACGATTGCAAACAAACCTGGGAACAAGTGGGGGGGGGGGTTCAACCCATGGCGAGTGAGTTGTTTTACGACTCACTCGCCATGGGTTTTAACCCCACCCATTTCGTGGTTTGTTTTCGCTTATAATTTGAGAACCCCTTACTTGATTGGCTTAAAATGTTAAACGTTGTTGTATTGTTACTATGGAAAAGTTCATGCAGCTCTTAGCATGTGCAGGTTTTCTCTGGAAAAAGAAAAATAACTGTACCTGAGTATATGACCGGTTCTACAATATAGCAGTACGGAAATAAAATATTTGGGGAATCTATTTTCGTGGAATTTAATAACGACATAAAAACGCGCGTTTTAAATGTTTCAGTTTTCTGGGTTATATTGTTTCAAATTGTCTACAGTCGTGTAATAAAAGTTTTTTTTTTGTAAGAAACTGGAATTAGCATTTATATTAATATAAGCTACCGGGCAAGGACAGCTGAGGGGTTAAAGTTTTGCAAATACCAGGTAATCAGTCCCTCAGCCTGAAGGCTGAGGGACTGATTATCTCAACCTCCTGATCTTCAACCATGCTTCTCAGTATTGGGCAGAGGAAGCCACTGGTTGGCGTAACGTTTCCACAATAAAGTGTCGCACATGTGTCTAGTTCACCATCCTATCGGTTCTCTGAACCATTTATCTACACGTGAACACGTCAGTAGTTGTATGAACCTTTCCCCAGTCACAGTACACCATAGTGGAAAATCTAAAGCTTGACAGATGAAGCGTTTTTTTTTCAGCTTAAAAACGAAATGCCTGAAGAAAAACAGAGAGTGCTTCGGTGATGTATAACAGCCGCTTTAATATGAAGATAAAATTGCAGAGGTGAATGATGATACAGTGATAAGCAGAGAAAAATGTTTGTAGGAAAACCTTTCCTTCTGCTGCAATGTTTCCTCCAGGGCATTATTATTATTATTATTATTATTATTATCAAAACGAAGCGCTAAACCCACTAGGGTCATACAGCGCTGTTCCTCCAGGGCAGAAGAAGCCTTTGTTGGGAAAATATTCCACTCTGTGTAGAGTCTTATTAAGCCATCAACACTGATCAACACAATTCAAAATTGTCTCAGGTAATAGCTTGTTCAGCAACTTGTGTTTTTGTCAACATACTTATTGGTAATACTATATTTCATCCATGTACGACCCTCACTACCCACTCATTCTATTATATACTATATAAATTTAGCCATTAAGATAAAAACTATACACTCCAAGGTAGCAGGATTATAACTAAATTATATTCTTGGGTAAAAAAAAAAATTACCAGCTGAAGCCTAGTGGGTAGCTGTGATTCCGAGTTTTTGTTTATTGCTAATAAAAAAATACGATTTTTTTTTGTCTGTTAGCCTTCAAATTTTAGTAATTTGGAAGCTCTAAATCCTTAAGGGTCAGACAAAGCCTGGGAAATGGGAGGTAACCAAGTTGTTCTAGAGAAAGGGAAAGGGGAGCCCTAATGTATTACATGTAGAGGAATTAATTCCCCCTTGCGTCTAGACACCTCCCTTAAGAGGTTTTGTGTCTATAAAAGGCTCTTTAACGGTACCAGAAATGTTCTTAAAATTATTTCAGGGTAAATAGTTCAGGAATTTTTATGGCGCTTGCATAAGAATAGGCTTTAACCGTTTATAATGCCCTTAGACCTTTGGTGGATGTCTACGTAACATGCGTATGACAGTTGGCCTTTTAGCAATGTTAATATAGGCTTTTTTTTCTACTACCCGCCCCCCGTTACCCCCTCCGCCGCTTAGTCTAGTTGATTGACGATATCGTCCTTCTCCATCTGAAGTCTCCCAGCTCAGCTGACAAACTTCATCGTCTAATGTGTGTAACCCATCCTGTGATGGAATATGGCAGGGGAGAAACCCGTCCTGTGATGGAATATGGCAGGGGAGGAACCCATCCTGTGATGGAATATGGCAGGGGAGAAACCCATCCTGTGATGGAATATGGCAGGGGAGGAACCCATTCTGTGGTGGAATATGGCAGGGGAGGAAACCATCCTGTGATGGAATATAGCAGGGGAGAAACCCATCCTGTGATGGAATATAGCAGGGGAGAAACCCATCCTGTGATGGAATTTAGCAGGGGAGAAGCTCATCCTGTGATGGAATATGGCAGGGAGAAGACCATCCTGTGATGGAATATGGCAGGGAGAAGACCATCCTGTGATGGAATATGGCAGGGGAGAAACCCATCCTGTGATGGAATATAGCAGGGGAGAAACTCATCCTGTGATGGAATATGGTAGGGAGAAGCCCATCCTGTGATAGAAAATGGCAGGGGAGAAACCCATCCTGTGATGGAATATGGCAGGGGAGAAACCCATCCTGTGATGGAATATGACAGGGAGAACCCCATCCTGTGATGGAAAATGGCAGGGGAGAAACCCATCCTGTGATGGAATATGGCAGGGGAGAAACCCATCCTGTGATGGAATATGGCAGGGGAGAAACCCATTTTGTGATGGAATATGGCAGGGGAGAAACCCATTTTGTGATGGAATATGGCAGGGAAGAAACCCATCCTGTGATGGAAAATGGCAGGGAGAACCCCATCCTGTGATGAAATATGACAGAGGAGGGGGGAAACTCATCCTGAGTGATGGAAAACCAGATAGCTTTTGTCCCACATGTAACTCATACAGTAAGATAAGATAAGATTTCGTTCGGATTTTTAACCCCGGAGGGTTAGCCACCCAGGATAACCCAAGAAAGTCAGTGCGTCATCGAGGACTGAGGACTGTCTAACTTATTTCCATTGGGGTCCTTAATCTTGTCCCCCAGGATGCGACCCACACCAGTCGACTAACACCCAGGTACCTATTTGCTGCTAGGTGAACAGGACAACAGGTGTAAGGAAACGTGTCGAATGTTTCCACCCGCCGGGAATCGAACCCGTGTCCTCCGTGTGTGAAGCGGGAGCTTTAGCCACCAGGCCACCGCTGCAGCTGTACACTGTGAATGTTCCCAGACTATATATATATATAGTGTCGCATCACACTTGTATGTGTTGCTGCTCCGTAACTATAAAATAAATTAGGGTAGAAGCTATGCTGATGTAACCCAGATTTAAAAAAAAAAAAAAAAGATGGATCTGGCTCTGCTAGGTATCGGTGTGAGGCTGGCCTAGGCTATGATTACGTCCTCCACACCAGCAAGATGAAAATCCTTTCAGTGTAGATACATAAGAAAGAGGCTAGTGTTAGATTTAATGACTCGACTGCACTAAGGTGATTTTTTCTTAGTGTTATTGCGATTTTATTGATATTTTGCTTAAAAGTTGCAGCCAAGGTGATAACTGATGTTTTGGAATCTATCATTTTTCCATGGCAATTAAAAATAACGCTCAGAAGGACAAAAATCACTTCTTGAGAATTCCTCTCCAAAATCCCTACTCCTTATGGGCGGATCTATGTATTATTATATTTTGGGAAAGTGGTAAACCCCCCATGGGAATGAGGCAACCAAGTTTAATCAAGGGGTTTATATATTTTTTTTGCCCACGTTGTGCATTATGGCTCCATATATTTCTCACTGTATTTCACAACTTACCTTTTATGTCTACAAAATCAGGTATATTATAATATGAAAACTGCCTTCACTTCCTGCCCCCCCCCCAACACACAGCTGGATGACCCATATGGATTTAACCCCTTAAAATAATAAAATTAGATGCCAAGACTAGCCCAGAGGTATATTACAAAAAAACAAAAAACATAGGAAGCGTAGAGCTTTTATTTTCCTACGATGTTGAGAACTAAGGGGACGGAACCGTAATATGCAATACACATAGTCTTATTAGTTATAATAATAATCTGCCTACATATACACATGCATTGCCATACATTTAACTATGTTGATTTTAAGGTAAAAACAGTGAACTTTAGGTGTATATCTATGGGTGATGTTCAGGCTGTGTATGATTATAATACAAAGCTTTCCACCCACCAGACGCTGCTATTGTTAACTGTGGTGAATGTGGCATGGACAAGAGTGCCCAGACATGCGCCCACCCTGCCCACCCACCTTTCACCTGAGTCCTGCCCACCCTCCTTCAGCAACAACCACCCACTAGTGAGTACCCTCACTCAGTACTGCTCACCTTTCTCACAACTCTACATTTCTGACAGTTTTCAACGTGTAATTTGTTATTTCCGTTCAAAAGCCTAAAGTTCCAGGGTAATTTCTTTTATTTCCTTTCTCAGGACATTTCCCCTCAAGGAAGTTTCCTTGATGTTGGTGAGGGGCTCTTGATTTAGGGAATTGGATCTGTGCTCCAGTTCCCCGAATTAAGCCTGAATGCCTTCCACATCCCCCCCCCCAGGCGCTGTATAATCCTCCGGGTTTAGCGCTTCCCCTTAATTATAATAATAATTCAAAGGACATTTGGATTTTTTCTGTATAAAAAGATTAGAAAATGTATAACATATGTCACGTGTAAAATAAAGGCGTGTCTTTTAAGGTTGACCCCACCTTCACCCACCCTTGCTGTTCACCCCAACTTCACCCACCCCTGCTCCTTACCCCACCTACACCCACCCTTGCTGTTGGCCCCAACTTCACCCACCCCTGCTCCTGACCCCACCTACACCCACCCTTGCTGTTGGCCCCAACTCCACCCACCCCTGCTGATGACCCCACCTATACCCACCCCTGCTGATGACCCCAACTCCACCCACCCTTGCTGTTGGCCCCAACTCCGCCCACCCCTGCTGATGACCCCACCTATACCCACCCCTGGATGACCCCACCTACACCCACCCCTGCTGATGACCCCACCTACACCCACCCCTTCTGTTGACCCCACCTACACCCATCCCTGCTAATGACCCCACCTACACCCACCCCTGCTGATGACCCCACCTACACCCCTGCAGATTCTGGTGTCAGTGGATGGGTTCCGGCCAGATTACCTGCTGCGTGGGCGGACGCCCACCATCCAAGCCCTGGGGGAGGTGGGCGTGCGGGCACCCTACGTCAAGGCTTCCTACCCCACCATCACCTTCCCTAACCACTACACTATCGTCACCGTGAGTACATACTCTCACCTTCACTACCATTACCTTCACTTTCACCATCATTTTAATAAGACAGGTAATAAGTTAGTTATGGTAAAATTATATATATATATATATATATATATATATATATATATATATATATATATATATATATATATATATATATATAATATATATATATATATATATATATATATATATATAAAGATCGCAGTCAGCAGGACACATGGCTTGTGAACCAGGCTGCCCAGCCTTTGTGGCATTCGTGGCTGAGTGGATAAGATCGCTGCCTGGGAATCTTGACCGTCCCCAGTAGCAGTATCGAGTCCTGCTGACTGCGATCTTTCCCTGTATATACCCGCGTGTTTCTGTGTGATGCATTGATATATATATATATATATATATATATATATATATATATATATATATATATATATGTGTGTGTGTGTGTGTGTGTGTGTGTGTGTGTGTGTGTGATAAGTCACAAAAATTGTCTCCACTGTTGCATGTCACACATGTAAGGCATTTTTTTTTTTTTTGATCTGCCTAGTTTTCCTCATCTATTTTTCAAGGCACCTAGTCATGCTTAAGCGACTCTGCTTAAAAAAAAATTCATGGCCAACTTCCTAAGAGCATTTCTTCCCGGCAGGGACTCTACCCGCCTGCCCACGGTATCGTAGCCAACAAGTTCTACGATCCCGTGTTTGGCTCGGAGTTCCGTTTGGGTCGACCCGAGAGCTTTAAGTTACGCTGGTGGGGTGGAGAACCTGTATGGCGGACCGTCGAGAAGCAGGTTGGTGATAGTAGTAGTACTGTAGTAGTAATAGTAGTAGTAGTAATAGTAATAGTAGTAGTAATAATGGTAGTAGTGGTGGTGGTAGTAGTAGTAGTGATTGTCATTACGATTTCGTGAGTCAGTAGTGATTGTAGTAGTAATAGAAGTAGCAGTAGTGGTGGTAGTAGCAGTAATGGTAGTAGTTGTAGTAGTAGTAGTCGTAGCAGTAGTAATACAAGTAGTATTAGTAGCAGTAATATTAGTAGTAATAATATTAGTAGCAGTAATATTAGTAGTAATAATATTAGTAGCAGTAATATTAGTAGTAATAATATTAGTAGCAGTAATATAAGTAGTAATAATATTAGTAATAACAGTAGTAGTAATAACGGTAGAAATAATGGTATCAGTAATAATAGTACTTTAGTAATAATAGTAATAGCAAGAGTAGTAATAATAACATTATTAATAGCAATAGTACAGTAGTAGTAATAGTTGTAGTAGTAGTAGTAATAATAACTGCAGTAGCGCGAGTGGTAGTAATAACAGTAGTTCAGTGGCAGTGGTAATAATGAAAGTAGTAATAATAGTAATAGCAACAGTCTGAGATAACAATATTCTGAACAGCCACAGAAGTTTGATTAACATTTACTCTAAGAATAACAGTTTAGCCATCACTTCCGCGGCTCGGCCTCAGACCAGGCCTAAATTATTATTAGGTTAGGCCACTTTTGTCAGGAAACAGGACAAGTGTTTCCTGACGCGGGTCTTAGTCATATGATGACCCACAGTTGGAACTTTTGGTCGTCTGGCCGAGGCCTTCCACTGGCCTACCCCTCCACCCCTTTAAAAATTACGGTTACAATTAAAAAAAAATGTTATTATTGATATTATTAATGGCACCACCTGTTCCCACAGGGTAAGCGAGCAGCCACGTTCTTCTGGCCGGGGTCAGAGGTAGTGGGGAACCATCCTTCAGTATGGTACAAATACAACGCTTCCATCCCGTTTGAGAAGCGGGTTGATCAGGTGGGTTATTGTGCTGTTTCCTCTCTGAAGTGTGACGGGGGGGAGATGGGAAATGTGTTTTTTTCTTGTTCTCGAATGCAATTTTTTATGTCCCTGGTGAATATTTTGTTGAAAACTCGTACAGTTATATTGTAAACTTTCTCTGTATAGCGCGACCTTTTTTTTTTTTTTTTGGAAATGCGATTGAAAAAGTACATTCAAAATAGAATGGGGAGCGGAAAAGCCTTCATATTACTCGTTATTTGTTTTTATTCACTTTTTTCAGTCGCATTTACTATAAAAAATCAAACTAAAGAGGAGTTGTATATAAGAGAGCTTATGAAGGAGGATATTTCTTCTCAAGTTTGAATGTGATCTGTGCTTTATAAATGTGATCTCTGAGGTTGTCTGCCATCACTCATCATCGTCTTTCACAGGTATTGTCGTGGCTGGATTTGCCATCGCATGAACGGCCATCGTTCATGACGCTGTACATGCATGAGCCAGACACCGTGGGACACACATATGGCCCTAACGCACCCCAGGTACTGTAGAAGCTTAGGGAGGAGGGAAAGACTGCACCCCTACTTATGTAAAAGTTTAGAGGGAAGAAAAGACTTATGTATAAGTCAAGTATTGTGATTTAGTTGGGGTCCTTCCTGAAGATACGACCCAACATAATCAACTAATTTCTAGTTATCTATTTTCTGCTAGGTGAATACGAGGGTGTAATTGCCAATATCAGTAACAATATATCGCTTTTTGTAGAGCTTTATTAAATCAGTCACTTAATAAAAGCTCTGAATAGAATAATACAGTTCAATAATTAAAATTTCTTTTGCACCTGTGCCTTCTTATGCTTGGTGAACAGGTGCAGCAGCCTGGGAAACGAACCCGAATCCTTTCGGTTGTGAAGTAAATGTTGAGCCACTAAGGTCATTTCAAGGCTTCATCTTGACTCCAGCTCACCAAATCATTACGCTTCTTACCCACAGGTGGACAAGGCGCTTGCCCACGTAGACTCAGTGGTGAGGCGCCTTGTAGACGGTCTAGTGGCGAGGAACCTACTGTCGTGCGTCAACCTGGTGGTGATGGCCGACCACGGTATGGCTGAGGCCGGTCAACATCGGGTCATCCGCGTCGACAAGTACATCCCCAACATCAAGAACCGAGCTAGGTTCTGGAACGGCGTCTTCGGCAGGATGACTCCCTACGATGGTTCCCGGGGTTCGTGTTATACGAATGTTCTTGCTTCGAGGGATTGGTGCTGACACCCCTTCTCAACTTAATAATGATAATAAACCCAGGATAACTTAAATAAGCCAAGCATCGCTTTTTATGAATAATAATGATAATAATAATAATAATAATAATAATAATAATAATAATAATAATAATAATAATAATAATAATAACGTGTGTAGAAAAATCCTAATTGGTCTGGCGTGCCTTACAGAGACCAAGGAGAGCATGATGGAGGCACTGTCTTGTAAGAGACCGGAAATGCGAGTATATGAGAAGTCTACACTACCTGTCAGGTAAGTAGTCCAGGAAACCCGAAGTTAAACCAACCCATTATAATGTATACCCATCCAGTGTAGCTTAAATTAAATCCCATCTAATATAACTTAAGCCTGTAGGGGGTCATAAACCGCCAGGGGTCTGGGGGTGGGGGTTAATCACGTTTGATACAAGGAAAGGAAGGGTGGTTTAAATCTTTTTTTGCTGTTGATTGAGTCTGGAGTCGCTTCCGGAGGTCACCGTCCCTGTGGCCCCGGTCCTAGACCAGCTGACGCTGTCGCAAACACCGAGTAGCAGCTTCCCCATGAAGATAATAAGTGATTACAATAATACTAAATATAATATTATCAATACTACTACTACTGCTGCTGCTGCTGCTGCTATTACTACTATTACTACCACTACTGCTGCTGATACTAGTACTACTACTACTACTACTGGTGCTGCTGCTGCTACTACTACTACTACTACTGCTGCTACTACTACTACAACTACTACTACTACTGCTGCTGCTGCTACTACTGCTACTATTACTACTACTACTGCTGCTACTACAACTACTACTACTGCTGCTGCTACTACTGCTACTATTACTACTACTACTGCTGCTGCTACTATTACTACTACTACTGCTGCTGCTACTACTACAACTACTACTACTGCTGCTACTACTACTACTACTACTACTACTGCTATTACTACAACTACAACTACTACTACTACTGCTGCTGCTGCTACTACTGCTACTATTACTACTACTACTACTACTACTGCTGCTGCTACTACTACTACTACTACTTCTGCTACTACTACAACTACTACTACTGCTGCTACTACTACTACTACTACTACTACTATTGCTGCTGCTACTACTACTGCTAATTATAATAATAATAAACTAAAGATTATAATAATAAATATAATATTACCAATACTATCAACACTGCTACTACTAATAATAATTTAGGTGGCACATCGGGAGACAGCGACGCGTGGAAGACATTGTCTTCGACCTGGACGCTGGTTACCAGGTGGCTCGTGACCACGAGTACAAGGCAGACGCTGGCGATCATGGCTACGATAACTTCTTCCCATCTATGAACGTAAGTACATGATCCTATTCTTCTCTGTGAACAAGGGTACATGATTTTCTTCCCTCTCAGTGAACGTGAGTACGCACACTCTTTCCCCCCCCCTCCCCTCTATGAACGTGAAAACACTTTTCTCTTCGTGAACGTAAGTGCACTACCCTTCCCCTTCTGTGAATGTACACACTACTTTTTCCTCCTCTATGGAAGTACTGTAAGTACGCGCTCTTCACCTATATGAAGTAAGTAAACAAACCACGGAACGGGTGGGGGGTTGAACCCATGGCGAGTGAGTCGTGGTTTGTTTGCAGTTGTGTTGTGTTATTACGATTTCGTGAGTCAAATTAGCGAAGGTTCATCTTGTAGTGTTTTTAGCTGATACAAATGTTAAAGAAAGGAAACAGGAAATTAGAAGTGAACATAGAAAAAAAGGTGATTAGAGTAACAAAACGAGGTGTATGTAATGACATAAGATATCAAATTGGAAGGAGGGAGTATGGAGAAAGTCAGTGTGTTCAGATGTTTGGGAGTAGACATGTAGGGTGGGTCTGAGAGACGAGGTAAACCATAGAATATACAAAGGGAAAAAGGATGGGCGGTGTATTGAGGCATCTGTGGAAAGAAAATCTTGTCTAAGGAGTCAAAAAGGGGTACGTACGAGAGTATAGTGATACCAACAATTGTATAAGGTTGTGAGGCGTAGGTTTAAGGTTTGCAACAAGGCGGCATTGGGAATGTCATGATGGAGAGGAATGCGTTTTGTGAATGAAAGAATTCGGAGAGTAGAAATTAGAAGACAGAGCGGCGGGGTCACCGAGGGTGTTATTCAGAGGGATGAGGAGGGGTTGTTGAGGAGTTCTGGGCACTTTGAAGGGATGTAGCAAATTAAGATAACCAAGAGGGTGGATAAATCTAGGATGGAAGTTAGGTACGGTGGGGGGGGGTCTTCCCAGGAAGGAAGAGATAAAACAGGTTTTGAGTACTAGGGGTTGGAGCATCCAGCAGACTTGTGTGAACGTGTTAGATTGGAATGAATGGAGACAAGTGATTTTTATGCCTTGGCGTGCTGTTGGAGTATGAACAAGGCAACATTCATGAAGGTATTCATTAAAACAGGTTAACCTGCACTCTGAAGGACAGGATGGGGATGCTGGATTTCGGATTGACATCTGAACTGTGATGTCAACATACTTCTGGCAAGACGCTGTTGAATGCACGACAGTGAATATATTTCCTCTCCTTGGGTCACCCTACTTCGGTGGAAGATGACCTATGTATAGAAGGAAAGTACATAGACCATGGCTATGATAACATCTTTCCTTGATGAAAGTGGAGGAAGGTGAGGTGAAGGTCCTTAGAGCAGAGCCACAGTCTTGTAGAGACAAGACACAAGATTTTTAATGAATTAAAACCTCGATCTGGAGCTTCATGTCAGCATAATATAGTTTTACATACAACGGAACATTAATTAACTTGATAAAGCTCTTCGCAGTGCGGAAAATTGATGTTATAAAACTCTGCGTAGCGAACATTGTCTTGATAAAGCTCTACACAGCGGAACATTGTCTTGATAAAGCTCTACACAGCGGAACATTGTCTTGATAAAGCTCTACACAGCGGAACATTGACTTGATAAAGCTTTACACAGAGCTAAGCACCCACCTGACAAAGTTTACACAGAAACATTGCATTAGTAAAAGTTTCTGCTGCACTTGTGTCTTTCCCAAGTTACTGTGTAAACATACTTTCCCATCCAGAGCAAGACTTTACTGACACACGGTGTCACTCGAGCTTTATTAGTCCCCCCCCTAGAGCAATAACTTCTCTGAATAAAGTTCTGCTATGAACTAAGTATCTTTACTATGTACGTGTCAACACACTGCTCTCTAACCATTCTGAAGTGATTTTTATTAAACTTATCTCTATAAGGCACTGTTCGTGGCCCACGGACCAGAGTTCCTCCGCAACACAGAGGTAGAGGGCTTCCAGAACATAGAACTCTACAACCTGATGTGTCACCTGCTGGGGGTGAGGCCAGCACCTAACAACGGCACCTGGGGAGCTCTGCATCACCTGCTGGCTAACCCTCCTTCCTCACCTGGCTACAGAGTCCAGGTAAGGTTCTCTTAGTAGTTCCTGCTGCTGCTTGGGCGTGTGGATTGACGTAGTAGTAGTAATAAGTAGTAGAAGTAGTAGTAGTTGAGACAGTAGTAGTAATATTACTAAACGTAAACGAAACATATAGTTATCGATGTGATTTTTTAGTTATTTGAAACACGCTGTTGTTATTGGCTTATGCAGTCTGTGTGATAATTAGTCTCGTGAATAACTCTTACACTCACCACTACAGTGATGACTCATACACTACCACTGCAGTGATGACTCATACACTACCACTGCAGTGATGAATGACCCATACACTCACCACTACAATAATGACTTGTACACTACCACTGCAATGATGACTCATACACTACCACTACAGTGATGAATGACTCATACACTCACCACTACAGTAATGACTCATACACTACCACTGCAGTGATGACTCATACACTACCACTACAGTGATGAATGACCCATACACTCACCACTACAGTGATGACTCACACTTACCACTATAGTGATGAATGACCCATACACTTACACCACTGCAGTGATGATTGACCTGAAGAACTAACCACTGCATCCGTACGGGTTTAGATTTTCCTCGATTATATACTAACTGCCACTACTTCCACTCTCAGGAGGGTGCATTGCCTGTAGCAGTGGTACCTGCCGAGGAAGACCTTGAGCATGAGAAGCCGGCGAGCTCGTGCGAGGGCGACCTTGACGAGAACGAGGAGCTCTTCGAGATTCTGCAGGAGACGCAGGAGGAGGCCCAAGCTATTATACCCCAGCATCTACCCTGGGGGATGCCTCAGATGGGCAAGGCTAGAGACGGCTCATTCCTGCTGGTGCAGCCAGACTTCGTCAGTGGTAAGATAGTTGTTTCGATTTTTTCCAAGGTAAATGAGTGCAGAAAAAATATACAGATTTTACAAGCAACTTTTATTAAACGAAGGGATATAAGATTTCTTAGTGTCTTCAAACCTGATATTAAGGAGTTGATGTCCTAACACCAAACACATCCATCTCATTAAAACTGTGAAAACAATGTAGTTACAGATGAGATGTAAATTTACCCTTTCATATTGTTAAACAAGTTGATTTTCTATGTTAATTTTTATTTGCGAAATAAATACGCTTGTTTATAGCGTTAGATTAGTTGGTGTTCTGAATTTGAGGTGTGTTGGTGCGTATACTGGTTGGGGGGGGGGGGGGACGCGTTAGGGATGTGGCCTGAAATCCCCCGGCAGCCTGAAGAAGTTGGGAACCACTGATTTAAAGGGGACAGTTTGGTGTTCTTAATCCTCGTATTAACCATAATAACCGCTCCCTTCTTATTCCTTAGGTATATGGTTTTTATCATGAATTTAAAAGCCATATACACCTATTGATTTAATGAGTAACTTGATTACATGACGTCTTCTACAGCCTACTCTGGCCTGGTGAAGATGCCGTTATGGACCAGCTTCACCCTAGACCAGACCAACAGAGGGAGCAACACCAACCCCACCTGGAGGAGTGATCCCAGGATCAAGACGGATCCGAGTTTCTCCTGCCAAGCCTATCAGTCGCTGTCTCCCTTCAAGATCGTCCCACAACCTCTCTTTCCTCCAGGTTGGTCCACCTGGACACGTTACCAACAAGATAATCTTAGGCTCGTTGACCCAGAATAACCGTAGCAGTGTGGCTAAGACATCCTTAGCCTCATTAACTCACAATAACTATAGAAATGTGGCTTATTTTTAAGAACCTCGCCTAGGATGCTACCTGTTAGGTGAGAGGGCAGCCGGCGTAAGGAAACTTGCAAATGTCTTGGCCTTAACGAGAATCGAACACGGGTTCCTTGGGTTGTGAGCCGAACCTTTTACCATTCAGCTGGCCACTTGGATTTAGTTGTAAATCAGAGGATTTTAAATTCGAAAATACGCGACATCACTTCTAACCCTAGGTTAGGTAGTTGGTTAGGTTAATGGGGTTGGAAGAGTATGAATACACGAATGGTCATTAGGGCTGTACCTCACCTGTTCACCACCAGTCAATAATGCTTTAATCCCTAAATTAAGGATTAAAGTGATTTCTTAAACACACCTGACGGTATATATATATATATATATATATATATATATATATATATATATATATATATATATATATATATATATATATATATATATATATATACTGTCTCCAGAACATACAGGGTGTGTGTGTGTGTTTCTCTTAATGTATATATAGTGAGAACTTAATCCCAATTTTAGAGCTTGAAGTACTCTTAACCAATGACTTAATGGCCCTCGTATAGCTGATAGGCGCGCGACACACACACACATCCAGTGTCGACTTCCAGTGACGACACTGGAAGACAGGAGAGTTAGGGGGGGGGTTATGATAACGACATATAGAATACTGAGAGGTATAGATAGGTGGATAGAGGATGTTCCAGAGATGGGACACAGCAAAAAGGGGTCACAGTTGGAAGTTGAAGACTCAGATGAATCACAGGGATGTTAGGAAGTATTTCTTCAGTCACAGAGTTGTCAGGAAGTGGAATAGCCTGGGTAGTAATGTAGTAGAAGCAGGTTCCATACATAACTTTAAAGAAGAGGTATGACCAGGTAGCGGCCAGTTGAAGAGGCGGGGGCAGGAGCTGTGAATCGACCCCCGCAACCACAACTAGGTGAGTAAACACACACATATGCAACAACAACCATAACAATTACAACACCCACATCTACAACAACTGCAGTAACAGCAAGCAATAACAGCCACAAAACAACCGCAAGTTACAACCACAACAAGAGCAGCAATAACGAAAACGACAAATACCTTCAACCACAACAACCGAAACAACAGCAACAACAACGACCATAACAACAACAATCAAAATAACAACCAACAACAACTACTACAACAATTCCCCACATTTCAGAGTTGGCTTCAAGAGTGGAGTCAGGGCTGGTGTGCCAACTCATCACCAACACCGCTCCCTTCAGTGAGTTCCTGACTCAACGCTGGCAGCAACTCATCAGACTCATCAGAGAGTGGACCTACAAGTACGGTACCATCAACGTCATCACAGGACCAGTGTTCGACTATGATGCTGACACCTTTGCTGACGACCTCAACGTTGTCAGGTACCTGTCACGCAGTTGGGAGTAAGTCTTTGCAAGGAAAGAGAGAATAGGTTCAGTCTTTGCAAGAAAAGGTAGGATAGATCTAGGCTTTACAAGGGGAGGATAGATTCAGTCTTTCGAAGAAATGGCAGGACAGGTCTAGTCTTTGCAAGGGGAGAATAGGTTCAGTCTTTGCAAGAAAGGGCAGGATAAATCTAGTCTTTTCAAGAAAGGGGAGGATATATCCAATTAATTTGCTCAAGAAACCCATCACCAGTACGATTAGATGTGTATTAGTATTATGCGGAAGCGCCACTAAACCCATCGGGGTCATGCAGCGCCTGGGCGAAGAGGAGGTAATCGGGAGGGACTCCTGATCCAGTTCCTTGGATCAGGAGCCTCTACCCCCTTGGGGGTATGGATGGGAAGGGAGGTCTTACAGCGCCTAGGGAATGAGAAGAAACCAGATTACTTTGTCAAAATAATTGTAGAAAATAGGATGTCACAGTAATTGTTAACAATCACTATGGCATCTTAGTTATGTATACATGTAACTTCTTTACCCCCTCCGTGTTGTAAAAGATGTTATAAGTGTTATCATATAAAACATGTTCTCTTCTTTGTTGATGTGAAAGATACCTGGAGTATACCCAAGGCATAGAATTTGCATATATTTGGTTTCTGTGTGCCAGGATTTTTCGTGGCTGCGTTCCCTACTGGTGCATTTTTTTTTTTCTGGCCCCCTACTATCTACAGCACCTGTACTAACAACAGTGCCTCCACCAGTTTTTAGTTACAAGATGTTATAAGTTATTTCTTCTGTGCTGCAGTATATGAGAGATATTATAGTTACCGTATAAATAATGACCTCATTGATGTTGTGTTGCAGCCGTGGTGCCCAGCTGGTGGTACCAACTCACATGTTCCTTGTTGTGACTCGCTGTATGAGACCAGTGAACCATCTCTCAGAGTGTCCACACACCTACCTCGATGCCCTGGCCTTCGTGTACCCCCAGGCTCTTGTTGTGTCCAACTGTTTGGTGAGTAGTTCTCTAAGCTGACTTTCTCCCTCCCTCTGTCTTCTCGTTTTGTAGGGCATCAGTTTTCCCAAATTAAGAAAAATTGTCGCGAGACTAGCGCCAGTATGTATTCTTAAGCATAGAATGACTTACACACACACGATAAATTTCATGGAGCAGGGAGTGGACCTAGTAGCGACCAGCGAAGAGGCGGGGCCTCTGCAACCCACAAATAGGTGAGTACTCTCTCTCTCTCTCTCTCTCTCTCTCTCAGTACATACAGTGACAGTAAAGATTTTTTTTAAGGAATAATTAAGCCAGTAAATTGTATCTAACATCAAATTTTCTACAGACTGCTGATAGGTTCGCCCAGGAATTCAGCGCTACGGTGCGGGACGTGGAGAAAATAACTGGTCTTAAATTTTACCCCAACTTGGAGTTCGAAGACCAGGTGAGACTGCAGATCCGGGTACACTCAAATATTTGGGGCCGCGAGACCTGGCTCAACAGAATACAGTCAGACATCTTCGGCCTAGCACAGTAAACGTCGCCGGGTGAAACACTTCACATATGTGTTCACACAGTGAATCAACTTTAAATAAGTTTATAACTGTGCCCAATTCTATGGCCAGCGAGGCTGTTGGTAAAGGGACTGAACCCATATGCAAGAGCTTCAAATAAACCGATATCCAGGGGGCAGTTTCAGATGGACCAAAATACAAAATATTGCGAAATGAATCGAAACTTTGTAAATATAGTGAACGCCAACAAGGTTCAATGCTTAGACCCTTGCTGTTTACGGTCCAAATAAATGACGAAATTAGAGGAAACAATCTAGTGTACCAACTTTTGTGGAGGATACAATATTAATCAGGACGGTGAAAAGTCCAGCGGAACAATTGTGAAGTTTTGAGAATCAGTTATATTACTAGTGAAGTTCACTTTGAAACTTAGTTGAAACACTGTGAATGTCGTTGATGAATAGCACATTAGTTCCTTCTGTAAATAGAATATTAATGTTAAGTCCACGAGAGTAAACATCACAGTAAACAAACTGTCCCATACTAGGCAGGTCCTTATGTAAATCGACAATTAGAAATTATCCATTTTGAGTCCATTGCATCATATTATGTCTGTTCGATAACTTCGGCATTCTGTTTGTATATTTTTTATTGTATGCTTCATATTATGCAACCAGTTGCAAACTTGAAAACCTAAACCACCCAGAAGTAAATGAATATTGTTTTCGTTTTAAAACCACCACCTTTCTCACACCATCTCAGAATACAATAGGGCTTTCTCTCTGATTATAAGAGCACTAAATGGGGCAGCTCACTCTATTTTCTGTTCAATAAACACATTCAATAATTTTTCATGAACACATTCAACAAATTTGTTTTTGTCTTATTTACCGGAAATGACCTTTTTAATAATTGCAGTGCACTAGGAGGTATGTTAGGGCTCTTAACCTTTTTAAGAATTCAGACTCCCCAGTAGAGTGCCCAATATGCCCTCATACCCCCTTTGCCATGTCAAAATAATAATCACGAATCCTATTAGGTACCAGTATTACCAGTAGGGATTATACAGCGCCTTTCGGGACGGGGGTGGAAGGTATTCAGGCTTAATTCAGGGAACTGTAGCACAGATCCAATTCCCTATATCAAGAGCCCCTCTGGAGTAATAGTGCTGGGTAACTATGCAACACTGGTGAACCACTGCTGGCAATTATTAGTGCTGAAACAAACATTGACATACCGGTGTTGGGTGTCTGATTGAGCACCAGCTGTCAGAACAGTGCTGAATATCAAACATTAAACAACAGCTGCCATATCAGAACTAGTTTTCTACTGTTTAAAAACAGCATTTTACCCATTTGATGGGAATGTGGCTGTGACCTGATAACTGGTGGAGAATAGCAGTCAAACATTTTTTGTTACGAGGTTTCACTTGTAAAAAGCATTTTCATAACGTCGCCTACAAAAGGCTTTATCAGGTACGTGATTGATTGACATACTGCATATTTAATGCTCTTGTAGGCGAATTATTATTATCCTGGGGAGTACTAAACCCGTAGGAATTATACAGCAGCTAGGGGGGGTATGGAAGGCTTTTTAGGTTTAATTCAGGGAATCGGAGCACAGATCAAATTCCCTAGATCAAGAACCCCCTCCCCCTCACCAACAAAACCCTCGAGGGGTCTTGTAGGTGAAATGTTATAACAATAGTCTCCTTTTTACTGAACACGTTTCTTTCCTCCATTTTGCCTTGGCAGAACCTGATTGCCGTCGAGTTACCAAGAATTGCTTCTGTATAATAGCACATTAAACACTGAAATGTGCTTTGGCAGTTTTGATAATTTTTCATTAACATGTCATTATTTAGTTTAAGAGCTAGTAGTAATTAATATATTTATATGATGGAAAAAGTACAATTTCTCTGTGATACGTCAGCTATATTATTGCCTTGCTTGTCAGCAAATGTTTATACAATAAATCTCACTTAACCACCTCTAATGCTACTTACGTTACAGAAAAACAGTCCTATATGTGAAAATGCGAAGGGTGGAGTAAAAAAATTATGGAAAAAATTGAGTTATGTTCCAATCCTCCAAATTAAAGCCAAACATTTCTTTTATAGACACAATTCACATAAAATAATAAACTAGGTATTGTACAATGATTTTATGATTAGTGATGTTATGGGCACATTAAAGCATGTTATTATAGTATAATACTGGATGATTTAATCTAGCATAACCTAATAGTAAAGCAATGTGAATACACTTACCTTCAGTGGAGAGGCTTAGTGTGACCCTACTGGGCTACACCAGAAAAATTCTCTGCTGCTGTGTGGTCAGCAGAGGTACTCTCACCACTGAACTTTACTTTATGAACCATATTGCACAGTAAAATGATTAAACCATCCAAGATTAAAGGGATTCATTTGCAGGCTGTACTTCCTGCTTACACAGTTTTGCAGCAAGATAAGACTTTCTCATGGATCACAAGGAAATTGAGTGTCATATTTTTCTTTTTCTCCTGAATCCAGCCATTCAGCATTTTTGTTTGCAGTTTCATTTAGCTCTATTGATTGCTTTCCCATTTTCTTTAACAGGTCACAATTTGGTTTGTTTTCTCATTTTCTTTAACAGGTCACAATTTGGATTGCTCTTCACGTTATTTTGTCAGTCTTGAATTGAATTAATTGTTGATTCCACCCCCCCCCCACACACAATGGGCCTTGGCTGTATCAACCACACATATACCATCTCTAAGCACATTTACCTTTATTTGCTTCACTAGATGCATAGTTTCACACTTAAACTTCTTGGAACCTTCACCTACACTAGATTTCCTTTATAATGCCATGATTAATATCCAGACACGACAAGGGACCATGAAGAGATCGGAAATAAAGTGATAACACAATAGCGAGTAATTGTATGGTATGTACCCGTGAGACCAGCTGGTGGTTGTGAGGGTGGATATGGTTGAATGCAAGGCTGGGATATGGCCGAGTGCAAGGAGGAAATGGGTAGAGCCACTGTGAATGGTGAGCCATTGAAGCAAGACGGAAACATGGTGAACTTTTGAAATGAGAGTTGGAAACGTGGTAAACCTTTGAAGCAAAAGTTGGAAATAGATACTAAATGAATCATAAACAGGCAGAAACACAACAGGTGAGGATGTGAAAAGTCTTGGTGTACTGTACATTAAATTCTTGTCAAATAAATATTTTCCAGCCTATTTGTTCGCAGAATTACCACTAATTCCAGCATTTAAATCATAATGAACAAAATATTATGTACTTTATATACATATGTTTCCCACTGTATAGGTTTATTATTGAGCTTAATAAATTTTGTGTAATACAAGAGCTCTCATTTTAACCTTCTAAAAAAGATATCTTTTTTTATCAAAATACGATGAGTGTCTTGACCTATATGCCATTTTTTAAGAGATTAATAAGAATTACATTTGCTCAGCACACCCATCATAGAGGATGGCTTTCCTGTAATACCCCATTATGCAGCATGGATTTTGTCATACTCCATATACATGAAATGGTTTTCCCATCATCCTTAATCATACAGGATAATTCTCCCTGTCAATCACACAGGATGGTTTTCACGTCATAATCATGCAGGATGATTTTTTTTGTCATAATTACATGCCTGGAAGGTGTTCTAGGGGTCAACATCCCTGCTGCCCAGTCCATGACCTGTCCTCATGGTAGATCAAGGCCTGATCAGCCAGGCTGTTACTGCTGGGTACACTCAAACTGACGTATGAACCACAACCCACTTGTGGCTTTCATGTCATATTCGATCACAGGATGATTTTCTTGTCATACTTTATCAAACAGAATAACTTTCCTATCATCCATCATATAGAATGGTTTTCCTGTCATATAAGATGGTTCTCCTAGCATCTATTACAAAGGATGATTTTACTATCATACCCCATAGCACAGGGATGGGTTTTCTAATAGTCATTAAATCTGTCAGACTGATCTAAGAGGCTTTGCTAGGACAATGAGGATATTGTAAATCATTCCACTATGATTTCGGCAATTTCCAGAAAAGCTGGAGTTAGTATTACACGAGGATTGCCATTTTGGCTGTCATGTCTTTGAATTAAGTGGAAAGACTGAAGATGTCATGCAGTTAAACAAATATACTAGCCAACAAATACAGATGCAATAAAAGGAACCATAACATTTGTGGTAGATTAGCATATAACAAGACAGTTTAGCAATACGTACATGTATACTTAGGGGTGAATAATTGATGAAGCAGTGTAGTGTATCATCTCAAAAGATAACAGCAGTGCTGTTGACTCTTGTGAGTTTAGCTCTTAGTTATGATTATAATACATAATCAGAAGATAAGATAATATATTATAGCACTAATATTAAAGTACAATAATATTAAAATATAGGTAGTAGGTTGGTAGACAGCAACCACCCAGGGAGGTACTACCGTCCTGCCAAGTGAGTGTAAAACGAAAGCCTGTAATTGTTTTGCATGTTGATAGGATTGCTGGTGTCCATTTTTGTCTCGTAAACATGCAAGATTTCGGGTACAGTACGTCTTGCTACTTACACTTAGGTCACACTACACATACATGTACGAGCATATATATACACACCCCTCTGAGTTTTCTTTCTAGTTCTTGTCCTTGTTTATTTCCTCTTACCTCCATGGGGAAGTGGAACAGAATTCTTCCTCTGTAAGCCATGCGTGTTGTAAGAGGAGAGTAAAATGCCAGGAGCAAGGGGCTAGTAACCCCTTCTCCTGTATATATTACTAAATGTAAAAGGAGAAACTTTTGTTTTTCCTTTTGGGCCACCCCGCCTCGGTGGGATACGGCCAGTGTGTTGAAAGAAAGAAAGAATATTAAAATAACATATTCAGTATCCAAAAAATACGTTTTTAAATCCACTCTGGTTTTATTTAAAATTACAATACATAACTCATACAAACCACTTTGTGTTGTCACCAAGCTGCTACTGATATAATGTATTAAAGTTATTCTACAGGTAATCTAAATTCAGATTTTTATTTATTTTTTGAAGTACACAGGTAATGTAGTTTACATGTACTGTTAAAATATTGTTAGGTGCTATGTAGTGCATTTGAGAGAGTAATCCACTCTTATAGATAAAACAGTGGGTTTTTAAAACCTTTTCTTTAAATCCATTATTAAATACTGAATCAGATAAGGACTATGTATTTAACAACACTAATAATTGTTTGTCCTGCAGGTTTAGCGCTTCCCCCTTGATTAAAATAATAATTGTTTGATGACTGGATTTTTTTTTTGTGTGTGTGTGTGTGTGTGTGTGTGTGTGTGTGTGTGTGCATGCATGTGTGCGTGTGTGTGTATATATGTGTAAAAGTGGATCAAGGCAGTGTGTGTCTTTAAAATTCATTGTACGATTCTGTATTTGTTTCTAAATATAGGAGAATGCATACTCTAACATGACCATAATGGCTTGCTGACACAATACAGTGGCTTTGTGAAATTTTTAGCATTTTTACTTAACAAACCTATTTTGTTAGGTAAGACACATGTGCAACAGTTAGGTATCTTTATTTCGAAACGTTTCGCCTACACAGTAGGCTTCTTCAGTCGAGTACAGAAAAGTTGATAGAAGCAGAAGAGACTTGAAGATGATGTAATCAGTCCATTACCCTTGAAGTTTTGAGGTGGTCAGTCCCTCAGTCAGGAGAAGAGTATTGTTCCATAGTCTGAAACAATATGGAGTTGAAGTCACAGGATGGAGCCTTATATCCCCCAGGAGGTGAGATGTAGACCACTGGTAGAGGTAAGAATGTAGTCGTGGGAAGGTCATGTCCCTCTCAAATCCAGCCATTCTCACTAGTAGAAGTTTCGCCTACTGTGTAGGCAAAACGTTTCAAAATAAAGATACCTAACTGTTGCACATGTGTCTTACCTAACAACGTGTCGGTATTTTATACCATTTTAATGTTCAAACCTATTTTGGTTTAAGTACAAAGAAAGCCACTATCATGCCGGAGCATTTCGGGCAGACTGATCCTAGTACACAGTAACTACCAAAAACTAGACAAGATAATAGTACATAATAACTACTTAAAAGTAGACAAAATAATAGTGGTTAACTTGATTACAATCTTATTTAAACTTAATACTAGTCTTCATATTCTCCCCAGAGGAAGTCATTGGTAAACAAGATAGTATTAGTGCCAAAAATTAATACATACAGTAAATACAGTGATTTAGCAGACTAATAGGAGGGGGGTTATTAAAATCAATTGTCCATTAAATGAAATGACTAGATTCTTTTCATAATCATAGAGGACAGGAGCCATAGTAGGGAAACAAGTGTAGTCAAAGATAAGATAAAACCAATATTGCAAACCAGAAATACCGCAGGAAATAGCAAACAAGAGGACTCCAATAGCAATAGTGAGGATAAATTACCAAAAACAACTGGTGGGAGCTCCATTGTTGGTGCTAGGGAGGATAGGAATAAGACAGGGAAACATGCACCAACAGGGAATACAGTCACAGAAACCCAAGGCAAACGGAAACCAAGCCTGTGCACATACTATGCACTTGGTATCTGCTGGCATGGGAAATCTGGAAAAACAGATGGGACATGCAACTATGACCACCCTAGAAAATGTCATGCCCATATGACAACAGGAAAATGCAAACTCCCTTCCTGTAAGCTTTTTCACCCTGAAATGTGTACCTCTTCAGTACAGGAAAGACTGTGCTATAACTTAAATTGCCAGGCATACCATCTAAAGGGGACAAAAAGATACAAAACATCCAGGCCATGGGAAAACCTGGTAGCCACAGCCACTCAAGAGGGAGAGGTTTTTTAGTGCCAGGAAGGAAAAAAAACTGGCAGGAAATGGCAGAAATCGTACACCAAATCCAGTCATTCCTGGAGTGGAACCACAGTCGATGGCCTCCACTCCAAACCAACAGATACAGATACTAATGCCGGAAAAAAATCCCCCCCCAGTACCAACAATACCACCAGTCCGATAACATTCTTCTTTGCAAATATACAGGGTCTAAAGCCAGCAATAAACAACAAAATACCTTTCATCCGTGGACTGCTTGCAGAGGCAAAGGCAATGTTCGCGGCTTTCACTGAGACCCACATAAAGGATCACTTGGACAACGAAATATGGATCCCAGGTTACAACCTATACAGATGTGACAGAGTGAACAGGCAAAAGGGGGGGGTTGGCCTGTACATTGCAGAGTCACTTGTTTGCACAGAACTGCTTAATGCCTCAAATGACGTAGTGGAAGTTTTAGCAGTAAAGGTCGAGAACCAAAACCTAGTCATTGTGGTAGTCTACAAGCCTCCGGATGCAACATCCCAGCAATTCCAGGAACAGCTGTTAAAAATTGACCACTGTCTGGAAAATCTTCCAGCTCCTGCACCCAACATCTTGCTCCTGGGGGATTTCAACTTAAGGCACCTAAAATGGAGGAATATAGCAAATAATATTGTTGCAGTAATAACACCAGGAGGCAGCTCTGATGAAAACTCACACTCACACGAGCTTTTAAATCTCTGCACAAAATTCAATTTAAACCAGCAAATAATAGAGCCTACTAGACTGGAGAATACACTAGACCTCATCTTCACTAACAATGATGATCTGATAAGAAATGTCACCATATCAAAAACAATATACTCAGATCACAACATAATTGAGGTTCAGACATGTATGCGTGGAGCCTCAGACCGACAAAATGAGACTAGTCACGAGGGAGCATTCACCAAATTCAACTTCAATAACAAAAACATAAAGTGGGACCAAGTAAACCAAGTCCTAACCGATATAAGCTGGGAAGATATACTAAGCAACACAGACCCAAACTTATGCCTAGAACAGATTAACTCGGTGGCACTCGATGTATGCACAAGGCTTATTCCTCTAAGAAAAAGGAGGAGTAGATGTAAAATAGAAAGAGACAGGCGCTCCCTTTACAGGCGACGGAAAAGAATAACAGAGCGGCTAAAAGAGGTCAATATATCAGAAATGCGCAGGGAGACACTGGTCAGAGAAATAGCAAGCATCGAACTTAAGCTAAAAGAATCCTTTAGGAGTCAGGAATCGGGGGAAGAACTAAAAGCCATAAATGAAATCGAAAGAAACCCAAAGTATTTCTTCTCCTATGCCAAATCAAAATCGAGAACAACGTCCAGTATTGGGCCCCTACTTAAACAAGATGGGTCCTACACAGATGACAGCAAGGAAATGAGTGAGCTACTCAAGTCCCAATATGACTCAGTTTTTAGCAAGCCGCTAACCAGACTGAGAGTCGAAGATCAAAATGAATTTTTTATGAGAGAGCCACAAAATTTGATTAACACAAGCCTATCCGATGTTATCCTGACGCCAAATGACTTCGAACAGGCGATAAATGACATGCCCATGCACTCTGCCCCAGGGCCAGACTCATGGAACTCTGTGTTCATCAAGAACTGCAAGAAGCCCCTATCACGAGCCTTTTCCATCCTATGGAGAGGGAGCATGGACACGGGGGTCGTCCCTCAGTTACTAAAAACAACAGACATAGCCCCACTCCACAAAGGGGGCAGTAAAGCAACAGCAAAGAACTACAGACCAATAGCACTAACATCCCATATCATAAAAATCTTTGAAAGGGTCCTAAGAAGCAAGATCACCACCCATCTAGAAACCCATCAGTTACACAACCCAGGGCAACATGGGTTTAGAACAGGTCGCTCCTGTCTGTCTCAACTACTGGATCACTACGACAAGGTCCTAAATGCACTAGAAGACAAAAAGAATGCAGATGTAATATATACAGACTTTGCAAAAGCCTTCGACAAGTGTGACCATGGCGTAATAGCGCACAAAATGCGCGCTAAAGGAATAACAGGAAAAGTTGGTCGATGGATCTATAATTTCCTCACTAACAGAACACAGAGAGTAGTCGTCAACAGAGTAAAGTCCGAGGCAGCTACGGTGAAAAGCTCTGTTCCACAAGGCACAGTACTAGCTCCCATCTTGTTCCTCATCCTCATATCCGACATAGACAAGGATGTCAGCCACAGCACCGTGTCTTCCTTTGCAGATGACACCCGAATCTGCATGACAGTGTCTTCCATTGCAGACACTGCAAGGCTCCAGGCGGACATCAACCAAATCTTTCAGTGGGCTGCAGAAAACAATATGAAGTTCAACGATGAGAAATTTCAATTACTCAGATATGGTAAACATGGGGAAATTAAATCTTCATCAGAGTACAAAACAAATTCTGGCCACAAAATAAGCGAAACACCAACGTCAAAGCCCTGGGAGTGATTATGTCGGAGGATCTCACTTCAAGGACCATAACATTGTATCAATCGCATCTGCTAGAAAAAATGACAGGATGGATAATGAGAACCTTCAAAAATAGGGAGGCCAAGCCCATGATACACTCTTCAGGTCACTTGTTCTATCTAGGCTGGAATATTGCTGCACTCAACAGCACCTTTCAAGGCGGGTGAAATTGCCGACCTTGAAATGTAAAGAGAACTTTAAACGGCGCGCATAACGGAGATAAAACACCTCAATTACTGGAGCGCTTGAGGTTTTTTAACCTGTATTCCCTGAACGCAGGGGGGAGAGATACATGATTTTTATACACCTGGAAAATCTAGAGGGACTAGTACCGAAAATTGCACACGAAAATCACTCACTACGAAAGCAAAAGACTTGGCAACGATGCACCATCCCCCAATGAAAAGCAGGGGGGTCACTAGCACGTTAAGAGACCATACAATAAGTGTCAGGGGACCGAGACTGTTCAACTGCCTCCCAGCACACATAAGGGGGATTACCAACAGACCCCTGGCAGTCTTCAAGCTGGCACTGGACAAGCACCTAAAGGCAGTTCCTGATCAGCCGGGCTGTGGCTCGTACGTTGGTTTGCGTGCAGCCAGCAGCAACAGCCTGGTTGATCAGGCGCTGATCCACCAGGAGGCCTGGTCACAGACCGGGCCGCGGGGGCGTTGACCCCCGAAACTCTCTCCAGGTAAACTCCAGGTAATAACTGACACTTCTGAAGTTGATGAACTTCGTCCTTTAAATGCGAAATAAACTTACTCAGCGGATGTTAACAACGACAGTTAGTTCTAAATTTAAGTGACAGTGCTTGGAAATTGTCCAGCCACCTATTTTGTTAAATTAAGTTTTTTTTTACATCATTTACTTTGTGATTCAGTTATTCAATTTTAAGTGTCATTTTTATTACAATGTTACTCTCTGTCTAATAAATGGGTTAATTTTAAGTTTCAAGATAAATAGTTACTGTATTTATATTTAAAAATACATTCATATACTGTACCAAAATATTTGAATTTAGTATTTTTATCCAAAATTTACATTTCCTACCAATGTTACTCTCAGGAAGGTAGACAGCAACCATCCAGGAAGGTATTAGCATTCTTTCCTATGAATGTGAAAGCCACACACCAGGTAGTAAATTGGCAGATAGCAGCCATTCAAGGAGCTAGTGTTGTCCTGTCATATAAGTGTGAAAAACAAAAACACACACACACACACACACACACACACACACACACACACACACACACAGGAGCTGTGACTCGACCCCTGCAACCACAAATAGGCGAGTACAAATAGGTGAGTACACACACACACACACACACACACAAATGAGTCACAAATGAGTCAGAGAGATAGTAGGAAGTATTTCTTCAGTCATAGAGTTGTAAGGCAGTGGAATAGCCTAGAAAATGACGTAGTGGAGGCAGGAACCATACACAGTTTTAAGACGAGGTTTGATAAAGCTCATGGAGCGGGGAGAGAGAGGGCCTAGTAGCAACCGGTGAAGAGGCGGGGCCAGGAGCTAGGACTCGACCCCTGCAACCACAAATAGGTGAGTACAAATAGGTGAGTACACACACACACACCAAGTATGCACTAGGTTGGTAGACAGTATCCATCTAGGTAGAGTATTACTGTCCTAAAGTGTGAAACATGCACACCAGGTACACTAAGTTGGTAGACATTAAGCAGCCAGGTAGAGTATTTTTTCTTTTAACACAGTGGCAGTTTTCCACCAAGGCAGGGTGACCTGAAAAAGAAGAAACACTTTCATCATCATCCACACAATCTGTCTTGCCAGAGACTTGCTGATACTACAGTTCAAAAACTGAAACATACTGTCCTAATTGTGTGAATACACCTGCCCAGGGCTGAATAGAGATCTTGTCAGTACTGTACCATATTTCAGCATAATATGTATATTTTTATTTTGAGATATTGTACAGTACTTCAAAATGTCTAAAAACAGTTTGCCTGAATTTTTATGGGCCTATTCTGATGATAAGCCTGGAGTTTCAATGTCCTCACTCACCTACCTTCAGAGAGTACTGCATATCATGGGTAGTAAGTTGGCAGAAACTATCCAGAGGTGCTACTGTCCTGTTAGGACTGTAAAATATACACACACCAGGTAATAAGTTGGTAGACAGGAAACATCCAGGGAGATACTACTCTCCTGCAATGTGGGTGTTAAAAATGCGTGTGAATATACATGAACATGCATGCACTTGTGCACACAGAGAGAGATAGTAGGTTCGTAGTCAGGAACCATACAGTGAGATTTTACTGTCATGGTGTGGCTGTGATATCATAGTCATTAAGACAGTGATGATGGTGAATTTTGGGTCCAGAATCCAGATGCTAATGATGGTGATCTTGTGATTAAAAACACATTATTATAGTATGTATATCTAATTGCTATAATAAAAATTTAATGATTTGATGATGATAATGTCTTCCAATACAGGTTAAAGAAAATAATTTGTGGTTCACAATATATTATTTATATAACCTCCAGTAAGAAATATTTTCATTCCTTATGAAAATGTGACCATTAAACAAAATATTTTACATATACATTTTGATTCTGACATACTAATGATACATTAAGCTGCTCATGTAAAAAACTACCGTAAACTGTGTTATACCCACAGTGAGTCAGTCAGACAGCAGTGTCTCGCTTGAGTGACTGACCTGACTGATGGTAATGTAATGAGTCAGTCACCCTAGCAATGACTCGCCAAGGCAGTAAACAAAGTACTGATTCACTCTAGCAGTGACTTGCCAAGGCAGTAAACAAGGTACTTAACTGTGGTTCACATGTGGGAAGGGTGTGAATGATAATCGTTCACTAAAGGGTCTTTTGCACTCGCTCACAATTATGCATGATGCACCTGAAGCCCACCATATGCATACCATATAGTTAAGTACATGATGTTTAAGATACATATCAGCTAAATTTCAAGACGTGATTTTTTCTGGAGACAAAAACAGTGTAGATTGCTTTGTCAATATTATTGAGTTTGATGATGGTATCTATGAAAGCACAGAACTTCCTTTAAATGACCTTGAAGATGGAGATTAAACAATCATGCAGTTGTTACCCTTGAAGCAAGGACTGAGCCCTTCACAGTCAAGGATTTGTTCACAGCTTTACCATCCACTGAAGCAGGGCCTAGGAACCTGTCCCCACATGTGAATTTAAGACTATTCCTATGAAAGCTGTCCAGCACTATGTACTAGTGAATGTTTATAAGGCATTTAACTGTGTGAATGTTGAAAATCTGTTTGCATCAATCTTGGAAGTAAAGTATGGTAGCTTCAGGTGCTGTTTGTATCACATTAAAGAAGGGACCAGAGAACCGCCTGAGATATCCTGTATTAAAAATTATGTCCATATTTACAAGATACATTTTAAATTTTCAAACCATAATGAGTTGCTATACAGGTGTGTAATACCATTTTTTCCACTATGAACACTGTGAATGTCTAATTTGCATCACATTCGAACTGTAATAGGTGACCAGTTTGATAAATTATTGGATTCACTTTATTCAATACTGCATCAGGAGAGTAATGCCCATTTTCAACTCTTCATAGGGCTAGAGCCAAAGATTACCTTCAGCTTCTCATCTGCAAGTTGTTTTGTCTTAGTGTCTTGCCACACAACTCTTACTTATTAAATTACCTCTGATATGTCGTTGTCATGAGCGACTTGTGAAAAGTCATTAAATAACTTTGAGCACAATTCGATCACTTCATATATTTCAGCACTCAATAGTTGGGGAGATAGCCCACTGATTGGAAAATGGTGCTGTGCTCTTGTTTAGATGCAATTCTTTGATTAGCCAGGAACACAGCCATCAGCATTTACATACAGTATACAATATTTTTTTCTTGCGATGAAAATTCTGGCTGTCTTCAATGTATTTAAATATATATATGTAGTTGCAGATGACTTTGCCAAGATCATTAATGATGTAATGGTCAAAGAAGAGATGTATCCAAGACAGATGTCTTATGTGGTGTTGCTCACACATTAAGACTTCTGACTCCTCTGTTGCCTCCAATGCCACTCTAAGGAACACAAAAGTTCTTTCTCATTATACCTGCCACTAGAAACTGCACAGCTTCCAGTTTATTTGGCACCATACACACTGTCACTATATATAGTAAGGATGGAATTAGGACGGAGAAAGGGGATCACACTTGCCCCTGGTGGAGGGAGTACTCGTGGGCACGCAGACGTAGGTTAGCCAGTGAGGAACCCATGTATGCTCCTCCCATTTGGCCTGCCCCACCTACTCCCCCACCATAGGTCCCACTCAGCCCTGCAGAAGAGGAAAGATAGTTAATCCAAATTAAATAAGTTAACTGTTTGTAAACAGTTTAATCATATTTAAATAAATAATTTATGAAATAAATTATAAATGGACAAAGTATTTGAATAATGTACAGTAAAAAATATTCATTATCATCAACATGGAAGTTTTGTTTTGAATTGAATATTTTCTGTTTGTCTAAATATTTATTTGTGGAATATTCCTCCAAAAATATACACTGGTACTGATTATGATAATTAAATATCAGATGATTTATAATACACATGTAAACACACTAATACCTGAATCTGGGGAACCAACTACAGTAGACTAAGTGAAAATCCCATCCAAATGCATGAACTTGTTACAGTATTTCCTCCTTTTTATATTATATAGAGTATACCATGCCATGACTATAGATAATATATCCACAAGGTGACAAATTCTACCTTTTGTTTAAAAGTCAACGTGTTGCCAAACTGCACATCTTGAGGATAAGTGTGAACCTCCTTAAAGCTAACAGATAGCTGTCCATGAAACCTACCCCACACGGCAAGAATAAAAATCTATTACTGAAATATGCCCCCTTAGTGATAGGGAATCTGTATGTTGAAAATGGTATAAAATGCCAACAAGTTGATGAATAAAACACTTGCAACAGCTGGGTATCTATTGTTAAAGATACCCAACTGTTGCACATGTCTTACTCATCACTGATGTGAAATCTGCAGATATATAACCCCACAGTCCAAAGAGTTACCTTGAGGAACTCCTAGACAATCTGAGGAGCCAGAATGTTGGCCATATACTGTATGAAGAAAAGTTACCTTATTATAAGCTATTTAATGTTCTGGGTAAGTCCCCCCCAAGGATTAATGTGGTCAGATATGCAATGCCATGTGGTTATTGAGTTTACAGTCCTGTTGAGATGAAATATGACATGGGATATATGTGACTGAACATCACCTTAAAAACCCTACCAGGACTACTGGAATTTTTGGTGAAGCCATTATAGAAACATTGCCTCTATTGTGTTCATGCTCAGTCAAACTGGAGGGAAATACTCATTTGATTCAAAGGTTCCTCCAAATAGCTTCTGTAAACCCATATAATGTGCTTAACTATCCCCATTTTTTTTATATCTGGAGGAAATTTACCATTCTGGCCATTACCTGGATAATGGCCAGAATGTGGCTGGCCATTATCCAGGAAGAGCAAGAAAGACCTCTGCATGACTTGTGAAAGAAAGGTACCATGTGGGAGCAAGGTTTGAGTCCTCTAAGGCATACCAGCTCAAAACAGGAAGCTCATAGGAGCTATGCATGAAGCACTAAGATAGCCATCCTGGTCACAACCAGACCCTCAGCCAAGACCATGGGCTGGAGCTGATGTTAGCAGAGGAAAAGTTCACACACGGGACGCTGTGTACCAGAGACTGAAAAGCTTCTTGATGGGGTTCCTGTCCATATGAATCATGGTGCTCACTCCTGTCTGTGAATCATGAAGATGTTGACTTCTATTCATGTGAATCATGAAGATGTTCATTCCTGTCCATGTGAATCATGGTGTTCACTCCTGTCCATGTGAATCATGGTGTTCACTCCTGTCCATGTGAATCATGGTGTTCACTCCTGTCCATATGAATCATGGAGTTCACTCCTGTCCATGTGAATCATGGAGTTCACTCCTGTCCATGTGAATCATGGAGTTCACTCCTGTCCATGTGAATCATGGAGTTCACTCCTGTCCATGTGAATCATGGGGTTCACTCCTGTCCATGTGAATCATGGGGTTCACTCCTGTCCATGTGAATCATGGGGTTCACTCCTGTCCATGTGAATCATGGGGTTCACTCCTGTCCATGTGAATCATGGGGTTCACTCCTGTCCATGTGAATCATGGGGTTCACTCCTGTCCATGTGAATCATGGGGTTCACTCCTGTCCATGTGAATCGTGGAGTTCACTCCTGTCCATGTGAATTATGGGGTTCACTCCTGTCCATGTTAATCATGATGTTCACTCCTGTCCATGTGAATCATGAAGGAGTTCACTCCTGTCCATGTGAATCATGAGGATATGTTCACTCATATCTATGTGACATACCTGGTACCTGTTTCAAGGGTTCAAATATTAGCCCTCACAACCTAGCCTCAAACAAGGCTTCCTCACTGACTACCTGGTAAGCTAGGCTGTTGGTGCTAGCAGCCCACAGGAATTCATAGCTATCACAGCCTGCCTAATCAGGTCAGAATCTTTTCCAGGGGGTTGGGGGGGTGAAGAAAAAATGATTAGCTTTCTTAGTGGTTGAGACAGGGAATGATTAGTAGATTATATAGTGATGATAGATAGGAATTAGCTTTTGGTGGTAGTGGTGGAGAATAACAAACAACCTTCACATTTTTGGTGGTGAAGGATTAGCTATCAAAGCAGTGGAGACTGAGATGAAGATTTATATCTTTTTTGGAGGAATGGATTAGCTTTCATGGTATTAAGCATTTTGGGGAGGAATGGATTAGCTTTCATGGTGCAGTATTACAATTGCGAAGACTATTATCCGTCAGGACAGGGTCTTAGAGAATAAACTAACCTGGAGGTAGAGAAGTGCACATTGGGGTTGGGGAGCTAGTGGGGGTGAAATGAGAGAGGTACGGAGGAGTGGCACTTCCCACACCTCCGCCGGACCCCTTCCACGCCCCCACGCCCACACCCATGCTGCCATAGCCACCATAATCACACATACCCATGCTGCTGCTTCCTGTTGAATGTGGAAATAATAATAAATGTGGTTTATGGTCATTATGCTGCTCATGATTTTGGGGTTGGTGCGTGTCTTTATTTCATCTTCCTTCAAGATACGGCAAAGGGCTCTAGATCCAAGGAAGTTGAAATAAGACAAATGCAGACCAAAATTTTTGCTGGAACGTTTTGCCTGTATAACAGGCATTTTTTTAAATCATTACAAAATGTTTTCTTTTAATATTTCTACAAGTACTGTACATGATACAATTATTTATTATACAAGCGAGATCAAGGTGTGGGTAGTGACTGACTAGGAAATACTGCAGGTCTATTGTGGACAATGAGTGGTCAGGGAGCACTACTGCACCTTGTGTGTGGCCAGGGAGGCCTACTGTGTTTTGTGTGTGCATGTGAATCATTGGTGAACAGTTTCTGTTTTTTGTAATAGAGGTACGTTTAAGATTTTGTTAAGCTGAAAGATCCCTGATTCTGTTGATTGTTCTAGTATTTTGTGTGCAGCTCAGGGCAAGTTCCAGGCATCTGAGTTATGTTTCGTCTCCTTGATCACTAGTCGGGCACCTTTCAAGAATATCAAGCGTGTGATATACGTACTTGTTAATTATACCTGTGATACGTGTTATACCTGTATTATTTACATGGTCCTGTGTATGACACTAGTATTGCTTGTGTTGTGTATTCATAACAGTAGTAGTATAGTGTAAGTATAATCAACAGTCAACGTGTAGTAGTTAGGTCTAAGTAACATAGTAGTGTGTAGTGTATAATAACAGTAGTAGTGTTAGGTATAACAGCAGTAGTAGTGTTAGGTATAACAACAGTAGTAGTGTTAGGTATAACAAGAATAGTAGTGTTAGGTATAACAAGAATAGTAGTGTTAGGTATAACAAGAATAGTAGTGTTAGGTATAACAAGAATAGTAGTGTTAGGTATAATAACAGTAGTAGTGTTAGGTATAACAGTAGTAGTGTTAGGTATAACAACAGTAGTAGTGTTAGGTATAATAACAGTAGTAGTGTTAGGTATAACAGTAGTAGTGTTAGGTATAACAACAGTAGTAGTGTTAGGTATAACAACAGTAGTAGTGTTAGGTATAACAACAGTAGTAGTGTTGGGTATAACAACAGTAGTAGTGTTGGGTATAACAACAGTAGTAGTGTTGGGTATAACAACAGTAGTAGTGTTGGGTATAACAACAGTAGTAGTGTTGGGTATAACAACAGTAGTAGTGTTGGGTATAACAACAGTAGTAGTGTTGGGTATAACAACAGTAGTAGTGTTGGGTATAACAACAGTAGTAGTGTTGGGTATAACAACAGTAGTAGTGTTGGGTATAACAACAGTAGTAGTGTTGGGTATAACAACAGTAGTAGTGTTGGGTATAACAACAGTAGTAGTGTTGGGTATAACAACAGTAGTAGTGTTGGGTATAACAACAGTAGTAGTGTTGGGTATAACAACAGTAGTAGTGTTGGGTATAACAACAGTAGTAGTGTTGGGTATAACAACAGTAGTAGTGTTGGGTATAACAACAGTAGTAGTGTTGGGTATAACAACAGTAGTAGTGTTGGGTATAACAACAGTAGTAGTGTTGGGTATAACAACAGTAGTAGTGTTGGGTATAACAACAGTAGTAGTGTTGGGTATAACAACAGTAGTAGTGTTGGGTATAACAACAGTAGTAGTGTTGGGTATAACAACAGTAGTAGTGTTGGGTATAACAACAGTAGTAGTGTTGGGTATAACAACAGTAGTAGTGTTGGGTATAACAACAGTAGTAGTGTTGGGTATAACAACAGTAGTAGTGTTGGGTATAACAACAGTAGTAGTGTTGGGTATAACAACAGTAGTAGTGTTGGGTATAACAACAGTAGTAGTGTTGGGTATAACAACAGTAGTAGTGTTGGGTATAACAACAGTAGTAGTGTTGGGTATAACAACAGTAGTAGTGTTGGGTATAACAACAGAGTATGTTGTATAACAACGTAGTGTTGGGTATAACAACAGTAGTAGTGTTGGGTATAACAACAGTAGTAGTGTTGGGTATAACAACAGTAGTAGTGTTGGGTATAACAACAGTAGTAGTGTTGGGTATAACAACAGTAGTAGTGTTGGGTATAACAACAGTAGTAGTGTTGGGTATAACAACAGTAGTAGTGTTGGGTATAACAACAGTAGTAGTGTCATGGGTTATAACAACAGTAGTAGTGTTGGGTATAACAACAGTAGTAGTGTTGGGTATAACAACAGTAGTAGTGTTGGGTATAACAACAGTAGTAGTGTTGGGTATAACAACAGTAGTAGTGTTGGGTATAACAACAGTAGTAGTGTTGGGTATAACAACAGTAGTAGTGTTGGGTATAACAACAGTAGTAGTGTTGGGTATAACAACAGTAGTAGTGTTGGGTATAACAACAGTAGTAGTGTTGGGTATAACAACAGTAGTAGTGTTGGGTATAAACAACAGTAGTAGTGTTGGGTATAACAACAGTAGTAGTGTTGGGTATAACAACAGTAGTAGTGTTGGGTATAACAACAGTAGTAGTGTTGGGTATAACAACAGTAGTAGTGTTGGGTATAACAACAGTAGTAGTGTTGGGTATAACAACAGTAGTAGTGTTGGGTATAACAACAGTAGTAGTGTTGGGTATAACAACAGTAGTAGTGTTGGGTATAACAACAGTAGTAGTGTTGGGTATAACAACAGTAGTAGTGTTGGGTATAACAACAGTAGTAGTGTTGGGTATAACAACAGTAGTAGTGTTGGGTATAACAACAGTAGTAGTGTTGGGTATAACAACAGTAGTAGTGTTGGGTATAACAACAGTAGTAGTGTTGGGTATAACAACAGTAGTAGTGTTGGGTATAACAACAGTAGTAGTGTTGGGTATAACAACAGTAGTAGTGTTGGGTATAACAACAGTAGTAGTGTTGGGTATAACAACAGTAGTAGTGTTGGGTATAACAACAGTAGTAGTGTTGGGTATAACAACAGTAGTAGTGTTGGGTATAACAACAGTAGTAGTGTTGGGTATAACAACAGTAGTAGTGTTGGGTATAACAACAGTAGTAGTGTTGGGTATAACAACAGTAGTAGTGTTGGGTATAACAACAGTAGTAGTGTTGGGTATAACAACAGTAGTAGTGTTGGGTATAACAACAGTAGTAGTGTTGGGTATAAAACAGTAGTAGTGTTGGGTATAAAAGAGTTTGTAAATACAGTAGTAGTGTTGGGTATAATAACAGTAGTAGTGTTAGGTATAATAACAGTAGTAGTGTTAGGTATAATAACAGTAGTAATGTTAGGTATAATAACAGCAGTAGTATTAGGTATAATAGCAGTAGTTCAACGATGAGAAATTTCAATTACTCAGATATGGTAAACACGAGGAAATTAAATCTTCATCAGAGTACAAAAATTCTGGCCGCAAAATAGAGCGAAACACCATCGTCAAAGACCTGGGAGTGATCATGTCGGAGGATCTCACCTTCAAGGACCATAACATTGTATCAATCGCATCTGCTAGAAAAATGACAGGATGGATAATGAGAACCTTCAAAACGAGGGATGCCAAGCCCATGATGACACTCTTCAGGTCACTTGTTCTATCTAGGCTGGAATATTGCTGCACACTAACAGCACCTTTCAAGGCAGGTGAAATTGCTGACCTAGAAAATGTACAGAGAACCTTCACGGCGCGCCCCTCAAGGAAGGTTCCTTGATGTTGGTGAGGGGCTCTTGATTTAGGGAATTGGATCTGTGCTCCAGTTCCCCAAATTAAGCCTGAATGCCTTCCACATCCCCCCCCCAGGCGCTGTATAATCCTCCGGGTTTAGCGCTTCCCCCTTGATTGTAATAGTAATAATTCACGGCGCGCATAACGGAGATAAAACACCTCAATTACTGGGAGCGCTTGAGGTTCCTGAACCTGTATTCCCTGGAACGCAGGCGGGAGAGATACATGATTATATACACCTGGAAAATCCTAGAGGGACTAGTACCGAACTTGCACACGAAAATCACTCACTACGAAAGCAAAAGACTTGGCAGACGATGCAACATCCCCCCAATGAAAAGCAGGGGTGTCACTAGCACGTTAAGAGACCATACAATAAGTGTCAGGGGCCCGAGACTGTTCAACTGCCTCCCAGCATACATAAGGGGGATTACCAACAGACCCCTGGCAGTCTTCAAGCTGGCACTGGACAAGCACCTAAAGTCGGTTCCTGACCAGCCGGGCTGTGGCTCGTACGTTGGTTTGCGTGCAGCCAGCAGTAACAGCCTGGTTGATCAGGCTCTGATCCACCAGGAGGCCTGGTCACAGACCGGGCCGCGGGGGCGTTGACCCCCGGAACTCTCTCCAGGTAAACTCCAGTAGTGTTAGGTATAATAACAGTAGTAGTAGTGTTAGAAATGATAGTAAAAGTGGTGTTAGAAATAATAGTACTGTAGTAGTATTAGAAATAGACCGTAGTAGTAGTAGTGTTAGAAATTTTAACAGGACTAGTAGTGTTAGAAATAATAACGGTAGTAGTAGCATTAGAAATAATAGTAGTAGTAGTGTTAGAAATAATAGTTGTAGTGTTAGAAATAGTAATAGTGTTAGAAATAATTACAGTAGTAAGAGTAGTAACAGAATTAGTAATAATGCTTGTAGTAGAAGTAGCAGTGGTAGTAAAGGTACCTTATACTGTAAGGTATTACATCTGGAGAAGCTGGTAACTACCCACTTCAGGTGTTCCCAGAGGACTCATTCACACAAAAATTAACAGAACAGAGGTGTACTAAAGTAGGCCTACCGGTATATGAAAAAAACAAGGCCAACCTTTTCCCCTTAAGGGGGGACACCGTGATGCCCGTGAGGGACTCTTGATCCAAGGAACTGGACTTATCCTACCCTTCCTTGGATCGAACTTGAATGCCTCCCAGGTGCTATATGACCCTACGGGTTTAGTGCTTTGCAGTAATTAAAAAAAACCAGTAAGGGTAATGTCCAAAGCCATTAAAAAGTGGCATAGATTAATAAGATAATAACAGTGCTGTAATTTTACATATGGTCATTAGGTGAGCTACGGTGAATACAAGAAAAATTGAATATTCAACTAGTTTAGGCAATACGGCTTTAGTAAGTTGGGTAGAGAATTAGTTTTTATATAGTATATAAAGAATACAGTATTACAATTTAACACAATTTAAAACAATGAAGTTGAAAGAATTTTAAGTTTGATGTAATGATTACGTAGTTGAGCAATCATCAAGTACAATTTACAATATGAAGTGTTTATAAGACAAGCATATCAGCAGTCCTATCAGAGTGCAGTAAAATTGACAAGCTTCCATTTTATACTCCTTTGACAGTGTTGGTGTGATGTATCCCACTGTGTGGCCTGAAGGGATGACTAGTCTATGGTCAGTGATGTTCGCTACACCGGGGGAGGTGAGTACATATTTTATTTACTTCATTCTTGCTGTCCCAGGTGATGTGTGTGTGTGTGTGTGTAACTTATATGTCAGGAAAATGTTACAGCCCAGAATGTCTTGAAGTCCTAAACTCAAACGGATCATACAGCGCCTGACAAATATTAATCAGCTCGCCTGAGTATCTAGGAAGGCAGAGGTCACTCAGGTGAGAGTCTGAAAGTTGGGAACTACTCACCTGAGGAGTCTGGAAGCTGTGGGTGACTCACCTGATGGTCTGGAAGCTGTGGGTGACTCACTTGAGGGTCTGTAAGCTGTGGGTGACTCACTTGAGGGTCTGGAAGCTGTGGGAGACTCACCTGAGGGTCTGGAAGCTGTGGGTGACTCGCCTGATGGTCTGGAAGCTGTGGGTGACTCACTTTAGGGTCTGGAAGCTGTGGGTGACTCACCTGATGGTCTGGAAGCTGTGGGTGACCCACCTGATGGTCTGGAAGCTGTGGGTGACCCACCTGAGGGTCTGGAAGCTGTGGGTGACTCACCTGAGGGTCTGGAAGCTGTGGGTGACTCACCTGAGGGTCTGGAAGCTGTGGGTCACTTACTTGAGAGTCTGGAAGCTGTAGGTCACTTGCCTGAGAATCTGGAAGCTGTGGGTCACTTGCCTGAGAGTCTGGAAGCTGTGGGTCACTTACCTGAGAGTCTGGAAGCTGCGAGGGACTCACCTGATGGTCTGGAAGCTGTGGGTGACTCACCTGAGGGTCTGGGAGCTAGAGGCTGCTCCACGGGCCCCGTGGGGGAAGCAACAGTGGGAGTAGTGTTGGATGGCTTGTATGAGGATCGTTGGGCCAAGACACTCCGCTCGTTCCGTCTGAACTTGGCTCTCCTGTTCTGGAACCAAACCTGTAACCAACAGCACTTCTGTAGAGGTGTTGTTAATAATTTTAAACACTATTTTGGTTTAGAAAAACACGTAAGCAAACATTAAGACATTTATTGGAAAACGTTTCGGTCCTGGGGCCTTGATGACTTTTAAACCAGTGCCCTGGTGGCTAAAGCTCTCGCTTCACACACGGAGGGCCCGGGTTCGATTCCCGGCGGGTGGAAACATTTCAACACGTTTCCTTACACCTGTTGTCCTGTTCACCTAGCAGCAAATAGGTACCTGGGTGTTAGTCGACTGGTGTGGGTCGCATCCTGGGAGACAAGATTGAGGACCACAATGGAAATAAGTTAGACAGTCCTCGATGACGCACTGACTTTCTTGGGTTATCCTGGGTGGTTAACCCTCCAGGGTTAAAAATCCGAAGAATTTCTTACCTTAAACCAGCTTGTCGGTATTTATTACCAAGGTTTATACCAAATACTATTTTAACTTGGTTTTGCTAGAGCTAGTTTTATTTTTGCTTATTTTAACCTTGGATGTTCTTGTGGGTGATTGGTATAGATTTTATTGGCAGAAGCGCTGAGTAACCTACAGGTCAGAGTGATCTTCAGATAGAACTTCCTTTTTTTTTTTTTTTATTATAAATTTGAGCACACATACAGAGGTACAAAAAAATACAGATAAGAGCAGCATGCCAAAGCCACTTATACTATGCATAGCATTACGGGCTGGCTTAAAATTAACTTAAGATTAACTAAGCAATGATGAAGTCAGTGATAAAACATTAATGTAAACAGATTACTATAAAGCACAAGTGAGTATTACAAAGACAGGTCATATGGTTGCATTCAGTCATATGAAGGATTCTGTTAGGTAGTGTATTTAAAAAATAATAAAGTTAGATTCGAGCACAAGTTGCTTGTAATCTCTCTACTTTCATTAAATATGTCGTATATATCGATGGTAAGGCTTGTTGTACCCAGGACAGGGAAACAGTAAAAGCGGAGATGCGATGTAATTACCGGACAGATACCCAAAGTCAGTACCTGACCAGCCGGGTTATGGTTCGTATGTTGGATTGTGTGGGGCCAGCACTGACAGCCTGGTTGATCAGACCTTGTACCATCGGGAGGCTTGGTCATGGACCAGGCCGTGGGGGCGTTGAGACCCCGGAACAACCTCCAGGTAGCCTGTTCAATGTACTGAGAGGCTTCTGATCCAAGAAATTAAACCTGCCCTCCCCTTGGATTGAACCTGATTGCCTCACATTTCCCCTTCCCCTGGGTGCTGTATGGCCCCTACAGATTTAGTGCTCCAATAATAATAATAATAATAATAATAATAATAATAATAATAATAAATGGGATTATTAAAGCTTTTAAACTTTTTTTTTTGGGGGGGGGGGAGGGGTGAAGATTTAGGTTTGTAATCCTCCGAGTACTGCATGAAAGTCTCACCGGGGGAAATCACACAAAAGAAAGCATATATCAACAAAGTCTTCCCGTGAATAATAGAAAATAACATGCTGTTCAATACTGACAACATGCTAAGATAAAATGCTGTTCAATACTGACAACATGCTAAGATAACATGCTGTTCAATACTGACAACATGCTAAGATAACATGCTGTTCAATACTGACAACATGCTAAGATAACATGCTGTTCAATACTGACAACATGCTAAGATAACATGCTGTTCAATACTGACAACATGCTAAGATAACATGCTGTTCAATACTGACAACATGCTAAGATAACATGCTGTTCAATACTGACAACATGCTAAGATAACATGCTGTTCAATACTGACAACATGCTAAGATAACATGCTGTTCAATACTGACATGTTAAGATAACATGCTGTTCAATACTGACATGTTAAGATAACATGCTGTTCAATACTGACATGTTAAGATAACATGCTGTTCAATACTGACATGTTAAGATAACATGCTGTTCAATACTGACAACATGTTAAGATAACATGCTGTTCAATGCTGACAACGTTAAGATAACATGCTGTTCAATGCTGACATGCTAAGATATGCTGTTCAATACTGACATGCTAAGATAACATGCTGTTCAATACTGACATGCTAAGATAACATGCTGTTCAATACTGACATGCTAAGATAACATGCTGTTCAATACTGACATGTTAAGATAACATGCTGTTCAATACTGACATGCTAAGATAACATGCTGTTTAATACTGACATGCTAAGATAACATGCTGTTCAACACTGACAACATGCTAAGATAATATGCTGTTCAATACTGACAACATGCTAAGATAACATGCTGTTCAATACTGACAACATGCTAAGATAACATGCTGTTCAATACTGACAACATGCTAAGATAACATGCTGTTCAATACTGACAACATGCTAAGATAACATGCTGTTCAATACTGACAACATGCTAAGATAACATGCTGTTCAGTACTGACAACATGCTAAGATAACATGCTGTTCAATACCGACAACATGCTAAGATAACATGCTGTTCAATACCGACAACATGCTAAGATAACATGCTGTTCAATACTGACAACATGTTAAGATAACATGCTGTTCAATACTGACATGCTAAGATAACATGCTGTTCAATACTGACATGTTAAGATAACATGCTGTTCAATACTGACAACATGCTAAGATAACATGCTGTTCAATACTGACATGCTAAGATAACATACTGTTCAATACTGACATGTTAAGATAACATGCTGTTCAATACTGACATGTTAAGATAACATGCTGTTCAATACTGACAACATGCTGTTCAATACTGACATGTTAAGATAACATGCTGTTCAATAATAGCATGCTAAGATAATATGCTGCTCAATACTGACAACATGCTAAGATAACATGCTGTTCAATACTGACAACATGCTAAGATAACATGCTGTTCAATACTGACAACATGTTAAGATAACATGCTGTTCAATACTGACAACATGCTAAGAACATGCTGTTCAATACTGACATGCTAAGATAACATACTGTTCAATACTGACATGTTAAGATAACATGCTGTTCAATACTGACAACATGCTAAGATAACATGCTGTTCAATACTGACAACATGTTAAGATAACATGCTGTTCAATACTGACAACATGCTAAGAACATGCTGTTCAATACTGACATGCTAAGATAACATGCTGTTCAATACCGACAACATGCTAAGATAACATGCTGTTCAATACTGACAACATGTTAAGATAACATGCTGTTCAATACTGACAACATTACAACTGCTCGTGTACGGAAAGAATGAAGAACTCAAAATAAATACTAGATATATAACACATGAGGATCATCTCGCGCAACAAAAGCAAAAATGTGAAAGACTTGGAGATAATAATGTCTGATGTCTTGTTTAGAGAATAAAAATAAACCGCACGTAGCAGAATGATCCAAAATGGACTGAAACGTCGCCAGAAGTTTCGTTCTATGTGCCGGTTATTCGTGTATTATTCCAGTCATGGTATTGTGCCTCTTTATTCTTGAAATAACACAATAAGGCACATGCCATGAAGGACAGGAAAATGACGAGTGGATAATGAGAATGTTTAAAACGAGAGAAATAATGTCATTGATGACACGATTCAAATTATTTGTGCTATTTCCTTTACAATATTGTTCGTTTAATTAGCGATTCGTTCAGGGCAGGAAAGATATCAGAGCTGGATATGGTACAGTGACAATATATTACTTATATATTGATGATGCAGCTTTTAAACCACTGGATTATGACTCAAAATATTTTGAATGCATTATGGAGCAAAAATAACCATACCTGATGTATAAATAGATACTTAAGGGCAAAGACAAGGAAGAAAATGTGCGAGAGCATGACAGGGAGGGGGAGAGTATGACAGGGAGGGGGAGAGTATGACAAAGAGGGGGAGAGCATGACAGGGAGGGGGGAGAGCATGACAGGGAGGGGGAGAGAATGACAGGGAGGGGGAGAGTATGACAGGGAGGGGGAGAGTATGACAGGGAGGGGGAGAGTATGACAGGGAGGGGGGTAGAAAGGGCAGACAGACGAAGATGAGAGAGGAAGGAGAAATGAGAGATGCATGGGAGAGAGAGAGAGAGAGAGAGAGAAGGGAAGGATGAGAAAGAAATATGCGACATCTGTTTCTGATTTCGCTATTGGTGTTTTTGGCACCAAGTGAACGTGTGGACTTTACTTATTTGCATTAAGCCACACTGCAAGTAACCAACCACACGGAAAAAAAAATTCTACATTACTTCACAAGCGCTTTATGTTATTTTAAGAACTGTTTTGTTATTTTCTCTCTCTTACTTCGACTATTTTTTTTTTACCAGTGTGGAAATGAGTGAAAAGGAAGAGCAGTTACGTGATAAAAGTAGTGAGTAAGTTTTCTTTTGTCTGTTCACGTGGTGACCAAAATAGATCAAAGGAATATTGATTATTATTGCTATTATTATTATTGCTGTTATTATTATTATTATTATTATTATTATTATTATTGTGATTATTATTATTAGTAGTAGTAGTTATTATAACACATCGGCAGTTTCCCACAAAGGCAAGGTGACCCGAAAAAGAAGAAACACTTGTATCATCATTCACTCCATCATGTCTTGCCAGAGACGTGCCTACACTATACTAGTTAGAAAACTGCATCATCAAACACCTCTCCTTCAGAGCGCAGGTACTGCACTTACTACCTCCAGGACTCAAGTCCGGCTAACCGGTTTCCCTGTATCCTTTTATAAATGTTACTTCTCTCACACTCCAACAGCACGTCAGTGTAAGCAAAGTAACATTTATGAAGGGATTCAGGGACAACGGTTAGCCGGACTCGAGTCCTGAAGGTGGGACGTTAACCCGCAGGGGGCCATACAACGCCTGGGAAATAAAACAAGCTTAAAAGGAAAGCAACTTCATGCTGATGGATCAAGAGCCCTTCACTAGCACCCCCCACCATGACAAGTGAGAGGGAGGGGAGTGGAGGGGAAAGGAGTGCCGCT